CTAATTTGAAAACTATCCATATAAATGTATCGATGTATGTAAGGATATTCAATATACTGTCAAATATACAATAAACCAAACTTTTTAGGAGATTTATTTAATGGTTTAACTTGCTTACTTAAATGCTACGAATACAAAATCTAATACCTATTTAAGTTGATCAGAAAAAATAAATTGTAAATTGTTATAAATTAAGAAATATTCATAATTATCACTGTCTTTCTTTGTGCTAATATAAAGGCAATGCTATTATTTTTGTTCCAACAAATTCAAACAATTCCTCTTAAAAACTTAAAAATTACTAGCCAAGAGCGTATAAAATTTACCTATGAATTTCTGTACGATACTATTTATTTGTCATTTTTATCTAGAGCTTATATAAGGTTCGAAATGCACGAGAGAATGAAAAAAAAATGATTGGCGGACTCGCGGTTGTTTATCTCGACAAATTATAAAATAATTATCATCAAACAATAAACAAAACCACCTAACCTTAAATCGTCTTAACTCATTTGTAGAACTTGTCAACGATACGTTCGATAACAACAAACCGGTAGGCTTATTTGATTGGCTCGAATCGCCCCAATCGATAGAAGTGACAGGACGTGCCGTATACCTAGACGCTTGTCTCTAGGTGGTCCTTTAATCAGGCAGTCCCTAATAACTTTGACATATTTAAGCACAGTTTTTTTATACAGGGTGAGATTTTTTCGATGACCAGTACAGCGATCTTCGAAACTACAGCAGTTACGAAAAGGGTTAAATAGACAAAGAATTGTAGTTTTAAATCCTCTACTCGAAACCAATTTTATTTTTATAAATTTTGACAGCTGTCAAGAGATATTTGGGAAGCACTTATTTATTTAATTTTGGTAATTTGTTGAATTACTCCTAGTTCCGTTGATAATAATTTGACAGGAAAACATTAAATAGTAAACTTGAAATAGATTGAATTCCAAACAAAATGGCATAAGACATTTCTCCAAAATAACTGTCATTTTTGACATATGACACAAATTTGGGTTTTTTCTAAATGGCAACCATACGTGATAATTGCTTTACCGAATAGAGCATTTTATTACGATTTCCGTGTTATATCACATCGTTAGTCATGAAAAATAGTATAAGCACTGTAGTACATAGCAATAGAGAGTTATTGGTCGGCCAATGCGTTCATGCAGTATTATAGTTTGCGCTATTTTGACACAAACGCCTGCGCAAATCAGTCTCAAAAACAAGTACTACAAAATTAAAGTACTGTTCTGTAGTATTTGTGCCCCCATACTGCACGTTTTATTTTCTACGTTAAACTGACAGTTGACATTTCTAACGTCCGCTTGCAGGTTATTTCATTATAAACTTAACCCAGTTTCACCCATTTCCAATTGACTACTTGTTTACATATGTAAACATTACGTTTCACTACGCATTAAATCTTGTACTACTTATACAATTTACCTACGAACCACCCACAATTTACCTATGAATTTCTGTACGATACTATTTGTTTGTCATTTTTATCTAGAGCTTATATACGGTTCAAAATGCACGAGATAATGAAAAAAAATGATTGGCGGACTCGCGGTTGTTTATCTCGACAAATTGTAAAATACTTATCATCAGACAATAAACGAAACCACCTAACCTTAAATCGTCTTAACTCATTTGTAGAACTTGTCAACGATACGTTCGATAACAACAAACCGGTAGGCTTATTTGATTGGTTCGAATCGCCCCAATCGATAAAAGTGACAGGATGTGCCGTATACCTAGACGCTTGTGGGACTTAGCTTGGGGTTTCAGTTCTCGCCAAGTCAAATATGCATTTTCATTCGCTCCGTTCGCAAAGATTTTCGTTAATTGCAACGCAACATCAACACCCGAAAATTGGAACATAATTAGCTCAAACATTCTCAGTCTGGAACGCGGCCTGCATCGGTTCTCTCACTTGCACGCATGGCAGCCTATCGACGCAGCCGACTGCCTGCGTGTGCTACGTTCCAACTTGACGCCTTCGCCGCTTAAAATTTACCAGTTGTGGTGGCGACAAAGTCTCGAAAAATATGCTTATTTTGGACTAGCGAAAAGTGAAGAAATAGTTGACGGGCAAGTAAAATTTCGTTGAAACGTGAATAATTGACGCATTCCGCGCTTTTAGGTTTCCGTAAATAATCAACTTACGTATTTTGATGTCGACGTCGGCGCAGGACCAAAATTTATATTGGGCGCCCCATTCCAGCGCCTGCCTGATCAGTCTAAGGGTGCAATTGGCGCAGGTGAAGTTGGTGGGCAGCTGAACCTGGTAGGTTTGGGCCCTGAAAACGATGAAATTCGAAACGTTGCCTGCAAGAGAATGGCTCGGGCTTACGTGGCATCATTCGAGATGAACTCGGCGCCTTGGATGCGTGGGGTCAGGTCAAGCACCGGCCGCTCCAACTCGTCCAAAAGTTGAATTTTAAAACCGCCCTAAAAACACCCACGAAAATTGTGCTTTGCATTCTACTGTGGGGAAATCGGGTTTACCTTGTGCGGATAGCCCAAGTGCCAGGAGACGTTGAATTTGCTCCCCGACAGCAGCGAAGTTTTCACATTTCCTGGAATGGAACAAAGCGCGATAAAATCAAAGCCAATTTATAAAACAAAAATGTTGCTAAACAACCGTAATTGTTGCGGTTTTGCAAGCTAACGCGCTCGTGACTCAGCTCGAGCGGAGAGTTTTATTTCTTTCTCTCGGCCATAATCAACATTTGTTTTATTTGTTTAGCCGTCGGCTAAGATCTTTTTGGCCAGAGCCACGCCCCAAAAAGGGCTGTATAAATGCCATGATGGCGAGTTTGGATGTGGCCGCAGGCCCGCCACTAATTACGCAAATTAGCAGGCAACAGCGAGTTGCATAAGCCGCGCTGGAAAAGTGCAATATAACGGAAAATGATTATGGTAATAAGACCGATTACAGGCAGAAAGTAAAAGTTATGAAATGGGGTCTCTGACAAGGTGACTGGACTGGGCTGGGAAGGGAATCAATTAAAAGGTGGCCATTGGTCAAGATATTTCACACCGAAAATTGTCGCCGATCAAAACGAGCAGGATTCAGAATAGAAAACCCTGTAAGGCTGATTGTTAAATGTACATCAATCACACTTAAGGCAGCGGCGAGAAAAACGTGATGGCGCTTACGTAACGCACGAATTCCGCGAAGCCGAAGATCCTCGAGATGATGGAATCTGCCAGACACCTGTTGAACCGGCCGTGATCGAATCGTTTGTTTACAACCCATTGGATGCGGCCAACAAGAAAAAACTTCACATTTTGTCGCAAATGACCGAAAACAATGAATGTTTATTGACCAATAACCTTGATTAAACCATTATTAGCGAATTAACTAAAATAAGTAATGAATCACCTCAATGGATTCGAGTGGGTGCTGCGCTTTAGCGGTTAGAAACAGAAACAACTGAAGATGGCTGACGGAAGTTTCAAATTGTTTGACAAGTGACTTGACAGTCGTTAAACGCATAAGCCACGTAGGCATCAGGTGCCACAAACAAGTGCCTGATTAATCAATAAATAAATGAAATCGATTTGCATAAATATGCGCAGCTCCAACGGTACTGTCGAAGAAAACCGTACTAAAGCCTGCTAAAGCGTCCTTTCTAGTCCATTTGCCTTGAATGACCGGCCCGAAGACCACTCGGCTTGTTGACAATTTGCATTTAATTAAAAAATTGTTGCCATAACAGCAGCGTGTTTCTACGTGCACAAACAATTTAATGCAACACACACACACACACACTCGATCGTGTCTTATATAACATTTAGAAAATTGCCCATTAATAGTCACGAAACGTGTTTCAATTAAGTAGTGGAATGTGCAGAACGGGATTCGTGTAAACAAGCTCCTAATCGAATTCCAATGGGGCTAAGTCTGGATGAAGACGAGATAATTCCAGTGAAAAATGCACCATTCAGGGTTTTTCCATTCGATGCTCATCGAGGCCAGCCTTAAAACCCGAAAATCATCAATGGTTTCAACAGTGAAAAGCTGACTTTAACTTTTCTCTCTTGCTGTACGATGTAATTCACAATTGGCAAAAAGTAGTTTTTCAAACTTTGGCCTGGTCAAAACCAGTCCAATTTTTAGCCGTAAAGGTATCAAGTTCGAACGTAGCTACGCGCACCATTTTGCCGCGTCCATAGGCTCCTATGCGTGCGAGGGAGAAAACCGACGGGAGCTGCGTTCTGTAATGCAAACATCAGTTTCATGTTTGGTTTCTTTGTTGGTTGAAGAATTGCTGATTTTCGGGTAATTCGTTTCGGATGGGCCAAAACTTGTCCTGGGGGTGCCTAACAAAAAAAAACCTGCACAAGTTTACAAAGAGAAAGTGCGTTGAAACCTGAACTGACCAATCAGACACTAAACGGTTTTTACGGACTTTTATCCGCATGAAAGCGGCGCCATTTCCGGCTCGGCACGTGACGTTACAAAACCATTAAATCCGTACGTGCCGTAATGCTTTTTAGCTCAATTTCCGCGTAAAAGCGGCGGATTTCTTCAGCGTTAATTCGCTAATTGTCGTTCGGTAATTGTTGCAACGGGGATTCTCACTCGCGTGTCAATGAATTGTCAAAATGGCGCCCGGGGTATTTACCCTAATAGATAAATGTGCAGCGTTGCCGCGTCGCTTTCGGGGAATTTAACCCAGAAATCGGCAGCCGCAGGCCAGTAATAATAATATAATTATCGGCTGCCATACCTTTATTTGCCTGGCCTGGTATACGGCGTGTGATGACGCAATTTAGAAATTCCGCCGTAATATTTTCTCTTCGACGCAAACGGCTGAACGTGAGACAATTGCAACCACATCACATAGTCGATCAAACAAATGAGCGAAGATGATCGCCGTTTGTTTTCATCATCGTTATTAATGATTGCTTTGGCCATGGCCAAGCGAGGAAGTAAGGCGGTCGATCGGAAAAAATCTGATTAACTGGTTATCGTGCTTTTTTATGTGGAGAAACAGATTTTTAGACCATTATCTGGGCGGAGCTTGAAGCGTCCATCCTTGGACCAAATCGCTATTAAAGAACATCGGTACGATTCAACCCGGCCTGGTACATCCGGGCGGTGTGATAAGGACTGACTCGTTTCCACGGCGACCACTATAGCGCGCTCTCGTCCACGCACAGTCCAGCCCCGTGCCTTCAGCAGGGATTACAGGATTTCAGCTACGGGGGGTGGAGAACAATCTAGTTTCTGTTCGATTCAGTTCACCTAGTAAATCCTTGTGCCAATTCCATAAAAGTCCAATCTGGTCCCCATGGTAGGTCAACAGCGCAATTATCCTACGCCACAACCTTCTCATCTCCTTTCACGTGCCGAAACCCATCGGGTTTGCCTTAAACGGTGATTTACATGGAGCATTTGGTTACCTTTGGGCATCCCGCATGGGGCTTTTGTTCTGGAACTATCCAGAAAGTCCAGGTCGTACTTGCGAGCGGGCGGAAAAACCAGAGCGACATGGCCCTCACTGATCAGTGCACAGTAAAAAATCACGAAAAACCGCACAATCCACCTGCATCCAACGGAAGACGTTCGCGACATTGTTCGTTCGGTTCGTCTAGACGCGCTCAGGGTGGTTCTACTGCACCATAGTCGCGCGATGGCGTTTCTTCGGCACCAACAGTTTCTCAGATGGTTCGCGTTCGGGTACGACCTTTCGCGTAATACCTCTCTCGGATTTCTCTTGCGGAACACCTAGCAGCCGAAGGGGGGAAGTAGTAAGAGGTGCGCCGAGTACCATGCTCGCGGTACCATCTACTGGGGCTAGGAATGTGGACCTGTATACATTCCTAGATTATTAATGAAAATCTTTCGAATTCCATCGCGGTACTGGTTTTATGGGCAATCTTCGTGCTGCGGTTCCATATTAATCGCGCCACAGGTGGTTTTGACCCAAATTTGCCTTCATAACCCGGTGCGGTGGTTGCTAGTTGGCAAGTGACGCTTGGGGCTGTCATCCGTCTAATTGACGCAACTGGACTGGCCCCTTTGACGTTGTCTTGGACGCTGCTGTCAAAATTATTTTGACACTGTCACTGCGTCGGGTTCGTCTGTCAGTGTCACTGTCTCTAACCACTGATTTTTTGAGGCAAAATTTGACATTTTTTCCAAATCAAATGCGGTTTATTCAATGCTTCTGGAACTGGTTTAGGGTCATAAGGCCGATGCATTTTAAAGTTATCGAAGCGTTATGTGAAGTTGTTGCACGCTTGTGATATAAGGAGGATCGCCCTGTATATGTGTATGGGCATGAGGATCTGTGGATGAGAGTCGCGCCCCGATAATCAAGCGCACTTGGGCGAACTAAATGGCACTTTAAGCTGCATTCGGGCTGATTATATGGAAACGTTAGTTTTATTGCGGGCCTTCTAATCGCTGAGTGTAATTCAACGTCAGCGACCGTGCAGGAAGCGTACGGTTTTGGCAGTTCCGCCGTCACGCCCGTAATTTCGAAAGGAGTGCTCGCGTATATCGGCACTTTTAATGGGCAAAAACGAGTGAAAACCGATGTTGTTTTGATTGTTTGTCGACTTTAGCCTCTCGGCTAAAGTTTCTGGGTTTTCATCCAAGGGCGAATCCAGGGGGGGGGGCATGGGCGTCATGACCCCCCCATTCAATTCTCTATCCAACGAAGCCAAAACGAATTCTGTGGCTCAAATGGTTCTTGAGAAACCTTGAAAAAAGCAGGGTCATGTTCAAGTGGATTTTGCACCTAAAAAAAAACCACGCAAATCTAAAACTTCTCGAATTCAAGCATTTTTTGGGAAAACTGCCAACATTTCCCCATCACTTTCTTCACTTTCTAAAAAGGCCATTTATTTCTGTCTA